GTTTAAATATGTAATTCCACTAGTGTCAGAAACGTGAAGTGAACTGTCACTTTAGGAGATGCCGTGTGATAGGTAATACTGTTACACACAATAGCTGGGCATATAATAATAGATATACCCTTCGGCACCACATGGACATCACTGAAAATGAAATCCCGAGTCAGAATGTTGCTGGGAGCGAGCCTACACTCAACCTTCATGTCAAAAACAACAGGGGCCTGATCTTGTTGGCAATGCTGTTACAAGGACCAGAGTGTCCGCACGTGTTCCCACTGGGCGTAGGCGTACGGGTTTTGAAGCTGCTGTTGGGATATTATTTTTCCATTGTCACCATCACCCTGCACCACAATATGGCCATTCATCTGGGTAGCCTTCTGTGCTGGGATTATGGGCTTCCCACAGCTATCAAATTCATAAGTTTTCTTCTCCATGTGAACATAACTGTGGCTGTTCAAATGGCTCTCCTGTGCAAATCTTTTGCCACACTTTCCACACTGGAACTTCTTCTCCTCGCTATGCACATAGCTATGGCTTGTGAGGTAGCTCTCCTGTGTGAAGCGCTTGCCACATTCACCACACTCAAAGCGTTTTTCTTCACTGTGGACAAACCTGTGACTGCTTAGATGGTTCTGATGTGCGAAGCGCCTTCCACAGTCCTCGCATTCAAATCTTTTATCGTCATTATGCATGAACTTTGTGTTGACAGGATGTTTAGACCATTCTTGGTATTCAAATTTCTTAACCTTGTTATGCATGAACATGTGACTATGGAGATAAGCTTCTTGTGTAAAGCGCTTGCCGCACTCTTCACAAGCAAACCTCTTTTCATCACTATGAACATATTTATGACACCTGAGATGGCTTTCCTGGGCGAAGCGCTTCCCACACTGATCGCAAATATATTTTTTCTCCTCAGTGTGCATAAATCTGTGGCTGTTAAGATGCATTTCTTGAGTGAACCTCTTACCGCAAATCTCACATTCAAACCTGCGCTCCCCATGCACCATCATATGACTTGTCAGGTGACTTTCCATGTTATATCTTTTTCCACATAATTCACACTCAAACTTCTTTTCATTGTGAATAAGCATGTGGCTGTTAAGGTGGCACTCCATCCCAAAACGTTTGCCACACAGACTACATTCAAAATTCTTTTCCTCATTATGCACAAGCATATGGCTGTTGAGGTGAGCCTCTAAATTGAATCTCTTGCCACAGGTTTCACATTCGTAGGCCTTGTCGGTGCTGTGGACGAGCATGTGACTGTTCATATGACTCTCCATCAAGAATCGTTTCCCGCACAACCCACACTCGAACTTTTTTTCATTGTGGACAAGCATGTGGCCATTAAGATGGCTCTCCATGAGGAACCTTTTCCCACACAAAATACACTCAAATTTCTTTTCACTGTGCACAAGCATGTGACTGTTCAGGTGACTTTCCATGTTGAACCTCTTCCCACAGATCTGGCACTCGTGCTTCCTCTCGTCACTGTGAACAAGCATATGGCTGGTGAGGTGGCACTCCATGTTAAAACGCTTACCGCATAACTGACACTCAAACTTTTTATCCTCACTATGTACCAGCATGTGACTATTCAGGTGATTTTCCATGGCAAACTTCTTGTCACACAGTTCACACTCAAAGTTCTTTTCCACGCTGTGGACAAGGATGTGGCTGTTCAAGTGACTTTCCATGTTAAATCGTTTGCCGCATATGTCACACTTGTAGATTTTTTCATTGTGCACAAGCATGTGGCTGTTGAGGTGGCTCTCCATAGTGAAACGTTTGTGACACAAGAGGCACTCATACTTCTTGTCATTATTGTGCACCATCATGTGACTGTTAAGATGGATCTCCAGACTGAACTTTTTCTCACACAGATGGCACTCAAATTTTTTCACCTCATTGTGAACAACCATGTGGCTATTCAACTGAATTTCCATGTGGAACCTCTTCCCACAAAGTACGCATTCAAACTTCTTACCATCACTGTGCACCAGCATGTGGCTGTTGAGATGACTCTCCATGTTGAAGCGCTTACCACACACTGTACACTCAAAGTTCTTCTCTTTGCTGTGCTTCAGCATGTGGCTGTTAAGGTGACTTTTCTGGCTATACCTCTTCCTGCATATTCCACACTCAAACTTCTTTTCGGTATTGTGGACAAGCATGTGACTATTAAGGTGATTCTCCATGGTGAATCTTTTGTCACATATTCTGCACTCAAACTTCTTTTCTGTCATGTGAACCAGCATATGACTGTTCAGGTAATTCTCCATTGCAAACCTTTTACCACACATGTGGCACGCAAACTTTTTCTCCCTGCTGTGTTCCAGCATGTGTCCATTCAAGTGACTCTCCATTGAGAAGCGTTTTTGGCAAACCTCACACTCAAATTTTTTCTCACGGTTATGCCACTGCATGTGACTTGTCAGATGACTTTTCTGTGCGAACTGTTTGCCGCACTGGTCACAGTTATAGGGCTTTTCTTCAATGG